TTAATTTTCTCGAAAACTGAAATGCACTACTGGTACCTGCACGTGTCCCAAAAAATTCTAAATCAGACCTAGAGCCCCTTCGGCCAATATCAAAATTCAGGTCGCCGTGCTCCGGCGACGTCGCTCGCGGCGGCGATCCACATCGAATTGGCCATTTTCGACTGAATTCGGCCACATTTGCATCGGTCCCCTGCGATAAAACAACCCTAGGACCCTCGGGGGGCAAAAAAATCATGAAAAATCGAGACTTACCGGCGGCGGTGCTCTCGGGTGCGGCGACTCTTCCAACGGCGGGTGGCGGAGACCGGCTCCTCCGGCGTCTGGTTCTTCTTCTCTGGCGAGGCACTGGCGGCTAGGGTTTTGTGGTCAGGTGTGGGTGGGGTTATTTAGACCCTTTGCCTTTTAATCTCAACCATCCATCAAGATTAAATCTAGACCGTCCGATCACGATTTAATTGGGATTAAATCTGGACCATCCGATCACGATTTAATTGGGATTAAATCTGGATCGTACATCGCGATGCAATCTGGGACGTCCGTATGCGTGAATCTGGGCCGTCCGTGCTCACGTTTGATCTGGACCGTCCGTGCGTGCGGGAACGGATCTGTGCCGTCTGATCGCGCGCACGCGGATCGCCCACGTGGCCCGTCCCGTGTCAGCGTTTCTTTACCACGCGGCATGTCTTGGTTGACCGGGGCTACTGACCGGGCCGCTGACGTGGGTGCTGACGTGGTACAACTTTTCTAAATTGCGTTTTGACCATCGGTTTCCGATTTTCTTTTCAAAAACACCCTCATAATCTAAATTTTTACCCTTTTTTTTTTCTCAAAATCAATTTCAATTAAATCCAAATAATATTTTTACTAAATTTTATTATTATTATTATTTTTATTTTTATTAAATTAAATTAAATAAAAATCTAAAAAATTCAAATATAAAAATAAATAAATAAATAAAAATAATAAGAATAAAATTAAAAATACTTGGGTGTTACTGAGTTCCATCCTGATGAGGAAACTCCTACCCACCAACTTCACCTTCAAAAAAAGATCAAGAAGACTTCCTTTAAAATCAAATTCCAACGAAAAGAAAGAGATTTATGTGGCCACGGAGTCTAATTCAAAAGGAAGAGTTCTTTCACAAAGAAAGACAATTCAAGCACATGGAGAATTCGGCCAAGAGTCAAGGTTCCTAACCAAATTCTTCCACTCCCTTCCTATGCCAACAATGAGTATTTTTTAGTAAGGACTCTTCGAGGAAATTAATTATTTAATTCAAGGACAAGCTAAGTACAACATAAATACTTCAATCTGAATGGGACACTTTGATTGATTCAAGAAAGATGAATTTACGTTTTAATTAAAGTTTAATTATTTTAATTATCATATTAATGTTTCATAGATTAATTTAAATTAAGAAATTTAATTAGAATTTTATTTTTTGAGTTTCATTCAAAAATATAAGGTGACCACCACCCTTCAATTGTAATCGAATTTTGAGATCAATAAAAACTATTTAAGTTTGCCTTACCATTTGCTATTGTGAGTTCTCTTTGACAAGTTGTTTTAAACCATCTTGTTGAGTGAAGGATTGATTATATTTATTAAGGTAACCTCTTATGACGTTTTATCAATTTTCTTTCTTGAGTTGATTTTAACTTATCAAGATAATTTTTATGATATTTTACTCAATTTAATTTATCCCAATTAACTTAATTCACAATCATAACATGATTATTAGGTTAAGTAGGGAGAATTTATTTAGAAATTTAAAATTTCTATTAATGATGTCATATGCAGAGTTTTTAATAGCATTATTGATCATGAATTCGAGATCATGTACTTGAGGCTCAAATTATATGAGTTATCAAATGCATTTTGACAACCAAGAATCGATTGTTCTAAGACATGACTTGGTTATATTTTCCTCTAATTAAGTGATTCCATTTTCATATTCTTTCTTTTATATTTTCTTGAATTTTCTATTAAAACCAAAACATAACTTTTTTCATTAAAATTGAGGACATTAAAGAAAGAGAAAAAGTGTCTTTGTGATGGTAGAGACTTGATTGATGCTAAGAAAATAAGGAGGGTACAGCCTTGGGTGCAAAACATTATTAGTGAAGTAGGTAGAAGAGGCAAAATATAGGGAATTTGACTCAAAATATAATAATCATATGACTAAATAAATTGAAGGAGATTAATAAAAAAGTAATCATAGCAAAGGGTAGAATTGAGTGCCAAGCTAGGGATAGAAGGATAAGTCTCAAATGCCTTTGGGTTAAAGTGGAGAGATACGGATTTCAACATTCTTTTTGGTGTTTACCTCTAATTCTACATTTTCGAAGAATCTAAATCAATATATATATATAATTATTATAAGAATTTATTAAAATTCATACACTATAAGATTTGTGAATTATTTGAAATGGGTTGAGAGTCGTCCTCTTTAACATTAACCTTATTAATACTCATAATATTTATATGAATCTCCAAACTTTCAGAAATTATAAGAGTTGAAAATTTTAGTCTACAGCTTCTTGAACTGCTGATATATGAAAATAGAGGAAGATGAGATGGTAGAATTCTTTCACGAAAAGAGAATGTAGGACTTAGCTATATAAAGAAGAATGAGAAGCTTGGGTAATTGAATGAAGCATAATGAAGAACTATTAAAGAAGAAGAAAATTAAAGAAAAAATTTAAATTGGAGTTGAACCCCTAATTTAAAAAGAAAAATATGACATGAATTTAAAATTCAAATAGGTTGAAAAAAAAATCTAATGGAACTTAAATATATATAAAATTTTATTAGTCTAGATTAATGAGCTTAAATAGATAGATCACAAAAAAATCGAATGAGTTCAATTCAAATAACTGAAATATAATGGACTTACTAGGTTTAAAAGAAGAATAGATCATTATTTAATTTGTAGTAATAGATAACAGTATAATTTGACTCAATTCTTCACAAAAAGTAGCCTATCAAACGCACATACAGTTAAAAACAACTAGAAAAGAGGAGCACCGAAAATTTTTTGTAATCTCTGATGTGATATACTCCTATGTAATCAAAGTTCTATTACAAATCTTGTGTAATCAACCAGGATCGACATACTGAATTAGAAAAAGGAAAAAACAAATTGTGATTATCGAAGAAAAAGAAAAGTTCGACTACTACTGGTTGATGCATTTGCAGTAGCAGACATCTGAATCTCGAGAAATTTCAGTTTCATCTCCAAAGCTGAGTTTCTTTCCCTCTCAAACTCCAATTCCATCTTCAACCTCTCAATTCCAAAGCAAAGATCATTAAGTTGATGCATAAGCTGTTCCTAATTCTGTCTATTAACACCAATGTCTGATTCCGTTTCACCAACCTCACTCCCGCTACTTGCTCTCTCGCTTGTTCCTTCCTCCTCAATCACAACACGTCCTGAAAAATTCTCTCCTGGTTCCTTCCGATCATCCACCGACTCACTTCCTTCAGTCGTATCTTGGATGATGAAATTGTTTTCATCATCCCTTGACTCTGCTGCATGTACTGGGTCGAGAACCAACCTTTCTTTATTGAAATTCCACCCACTTATTTTTCTTTCTTCGATGACTAGACTCAGTGGATCGACCTCTTCTAGCACATTACCATCTCTGTACAAGACCTCCATCGCTTTGAACCGATCTTCGATGCTAAGTAATCCACTCAGCAAGTTTTCCGCAAGGAAATCTGCGCCTCCGCAGTTCTTGAAGAAAGAATGCTTCAAGAGCTTATCTACAGTGGGTCTCTTGGCGGGATCTTGATTGAGACACGAAGCCACCATGTTTCTGAAAGCCTCTGAGAACTCCTTGTCAGTCGTGGTCCTTGTTATATCCCAGAAGGGAAACCGCTTGGTTATGTTGATGACCAAAGACTTTGAGGGCGGCAGACGAGACAGAGGAGGTTGTCCATGAGCTAATTCCAGCGCCGTTATGCCAAAAGACCAAATGTCCGCCTTGAAACTGTGTCCAGTTTGCGAGTGTATAAACTCAGGCGCAATCCAGTAAGGCTTAGACGCCGAGGCTGAGGACGAAGAGTCCAACTCGTAAATTGAGGCGGAGACACCGAAATCAGCGAGCTTGACCGACCCATTTCCGTCCACAAGAATGTTTCCTGGCTTGATGTCTCTGTGTAGGTAGCCCTGGTTGTGCAAACAACACAATGCGTTAAGGGTTTCTTTCAGGAATATTGCGATGCATTGCTCTGGTAGACCGTCGGTGAATGAAGAAGAAATGATGGACTGGAGCGAACCGAGGGACATGTAGGGCATGACAACCCAAAGATGGCGATCAACGGTGAAACAACAGAGAGCACTGAGGATATTAGGGTGGGAAAGAAGGGACATGGTCTTGGTTTCCCGTCGAATGTTGTTGAGAACAGCTTGAGATCGATCGAGATCAATGGCCTTGATGGCGACCACAGTTGAGTCCAATGGCAAGCAAATGACTTTGTAAACCTTGACACTGACGCTCTCGCCAATTTCATATAGGATCTTGTATAACTTTGAGTCGAGTGGGAATTCAATCTTCTTGGGGTCTTCTATTTCTTGATGAGGCATGATAACAATTCTTGATTTTTCAGAGAAGATGGCTATGGGTACCAAATATATAGAAGAAAAATTTTATATGCAGAGAAAGTAGTTACATATTCTTGAACCGTTTTTCCTTTTTGTTATTTATTCACAACCCAAGAGTTAGTTGTTCAGTTAAAATTAAAAAAAAAAAAAATTCAAGAGATTGAAAAAAAAATCTTTAAGAATAAGTGCCTCAACTACAAGCACCGAATAAATAAGAATATATATTTTTTTAATTTTATCTAAATATATAATATTATATTATTTATCTGTTATCATAAATTCAGAATTCATTATTTTATTTAACCTACTAGGTTCATTTTGTTTCAATCATTTGAACTAAACTCATTTGATTTCTTTTTTTTTTTTTGATAATGTATATATTTAAGCGATTATATATATATATATATATATATTTAAATTCATTTAAATTTTTATTTTCAGGTTATTGGAATTTAAACTCATGTCCTATTTTTCTTTTAAATTAGAATTTTTATTCAAATTTCGAATTTTTTATTTCTTTTAAATTAAATTTTTAGTTCTAATTTCATATTTATTTTTTTATTTTCTTCTTTTTCAATAATTTTTATAGTAGTCAGAATCTTATATTTATCATTATATAGTCGAATCTTTCATTCTTCTTCAGTAAAAAAATTCTCGCATCTCATGTTAGTAACTTAAGAAGCTGTAGAGTAAATTTTTTAGTTGTTATGCATTTTGAGATTTTAAAGATTTATATGGATATTATGAATATCAATAGAGTTAAATGTTAAAAGGGTAATTTCTCAACCTATGTGTTAAACAATTGAGAGACCTTGTAGTGCATAAATTTTGATAAACTATAATATTCTTATTTATAATAATTTTATATATCCATTATTTATTTAATTAAAATCTTGCAGATTTTAAGAAATTGAAAAAAAATTATAAAAAATTATTCAATTACCAACTTTCAATAACTAAGAACTCCTTATTAATTTTATCTAAATGATGGAAATTAATTAGTAATATATTTTTTAAAAGAAATAAGTAAATATTGTATTATTATCTATTACTATAAATTTAATAACAATCTATTCTTTCTTTTAACCTAATAAGTCCATTATGTTTCAACCATTTGAATTAAACTCATTCGACTCTTTTTAAGATCTATATATTTAAGCACATTAATATAGACTAGTAAGATTTTTAAATTAAGATTTCAGCTACAATTTTAAATTTGTTTTTTCATTTTCTTCTTATTCAATAGTTCTTGATATGCTTTATTTAGAAGTAGTGAGTCTCTTATTCTTCTTTATATAGATAAGTATCTCATTCTTCTTTCTTGAAGAAATTCTACAATCTCATATTCCTCTACTTTTAAAGCTTCAGAGTAAATCTTTCAACTCTAATAATTTTTTATCTTTTGAAAAAAAAAAAAAAATATATATATATATATATATATATTATGAGTATCAATAAGGTTAACGTTAAAATGATAATTCTACACCTATTTCAAACAATCCACATATCTTATAGTGCAATGAACTTTGATAAATTATATTGTAATTACTTATAATAATTATATATATATATATATTAATTTAGGTTCTTCGAAAATGTAGGATTTGAGGTAAACACCAAAAAAAATGAACTTTGCATTGTCCATTGAAATCCATATCTCTCTGCTAAAACCTAGAGGCCTTTGAGACTTCCCCCTCTATCCTTGGGTCGGTCCTCATTTCTACCCCCTCTGCTATGATTAATTCATTAATCTCCTTCAATCTATTTAATAATATGATTACTACTTTTGAATCAAATTCCCTCTATTTTTGTTTCTTTTTATTTTCTCAGCTTCAATCAAGTTTAAGTTGTTGCAAAGATATTTTTGCTCTTTTTCTTGTTTCTTCCATTTAAGTAAAAAAGATTATGTTTTAATTTTAATTGAGAATCAAAGAAAATATAAAAGGAAAAATATGAAAATGGAATCACTTAATGGAATGAATTTGAAAAATTAGAGGAAAATATAATAAATCATGTCTTGGAATATAAGATTTTTGTTTGTCGAAATGTAAAGGTCCGAAACTTAAATGAAGTGAATTTATAATTTAAATACGGAAGCGAATAATAATATTAGGGTTTACATTCCTTACAAAATAAATTAAAATGCCCAATAGAATTACGAGAATATCACAACTACAATGACTCATAAAAAAGAGCAAATAAATAATTTAAAACAAATAGATAAATGTCCTAAAGATTAACCTCCACTAGCCCTTGAAGGGGTCCGGGAGGTAAACTACTCACAACCTTCTTTTTGATCGAGATCTTGATCTTGGTTCTCTTGATCTGAAATTGTTAATAGAAAAGTGAGCTACACTAACCCAGTAAGAATATCACGCTAGTCACTGACACAGAAAACAAAGGTTGGTAAAAATTATAAAAAAACTAATGTACCCTTTAATTTAAGTAAATTCAATTATCATGAAAAAAACTGTTTATTTCATACTTACCGTTACGAGTTTTTCAAAAATCAACCTATGAAAACCAATATCTATACAACTTTTCAATTTCATGCACAAGTAAACAAGAAACAATAATTTTTCTTTCTTTTCTGCATAATAGTGCCCCTAGGGGTCCGTAGGGATGTCCGCTACGTGTGAAACAAATATCCAAATTTATCAATTAACCGGTCATCCCCATGCCCTGTCCGATAATGAGCACCAAACATTCAATCACCTCGATACCTCGTCCGGTATGAGGGTAAATCATATCCCCTAAACTCTTCCGGTACTGGTCTTTCTGGTCTCGTCCAACTGAGATAATGTTCACGGTAGGGTTCCCTATATACTGGGCTCATTTGCCCTTTCTTAGGATACCCAGTAAGCCTTTCACATAAAGATCTCCATCAATAAAACGAATACCAAACGCATACCAACCTCTCATATCATGTTCACATATTACTTAAACGGTATTTACGCAAAAAATATAATTTCATACCTTAATAATCAAGAAACGTACTTAGGGCCTTTATTTCAACTTAGTCAATCAGAGAAGAATTACATTCAGGCAATCAATAACGAGAAAATAATTAAATATGATCATTTAAATCATACGGCGAAATAATAAGCGATTTAGCCAGTACAGAAAAATAAATAGCCACATAGAGGAGCTTAAAACAATCGTACACTAACCAATTTTTCAGCAAAACTAGTGACCTGTAATTATTATTAGGGTTTTTTTAAATTTTACAAAACACACAACTATCAACTATTAAGTCTTCATTTATCGTAACAGGGAATAAGGTGAGGAATCCTTACTTGTATCAGTGTTTCGAGATGTTATGCTGTCTATTACGCGTCCTAATGGGTCTCGAGTTTCCTGAATTTTTCTGTGAAAATCCAAAATACTCGTCAAAAAATTAAAAATATCCTAAAATCCCCAAATCGGTGTCGAAAATCCTTTTTGGTCAATTTTAAGGTTCCGGTACAGTAGCCTACCGTGCTCCGGCGCTGGCTACGCTGCCCACGATAGCAGTTCACCTCAACTTATCCAATTTTGGCCAATTTTACACATACCCCTGTAGAAAAATATGTTAGGGGGCTTTGGTTAGCCAAAAATTACAAAAAAAAACCAAACCTACCGCCGGGGGAGTCTTTGGGTGCAGCGGCTCCGCCAATTCTCCTTCGCAGCTAGGGTTTCTTATTTAACTAACCTGCACATAAAAGAATAGTGAACACAATAGTCAAAAAATTATGTAAAACGGGAAACGAGAAGGGGCTCATCGGAGGAGTTTTACAGTTTCAGCCGTCGCGACTCTGCCATGCTTTGCCCGTGATTTTTGGCTAACCCACCGTCCTTTTTTATCCGATATGTCATGGAGAGACTCAGAATCAAATTTCGAGCAGGTATGAGAGAATTTTACATTTTTCACTAGTCAGCAGTGGCTCTAGTGCAGCGGCGGCTGGGGGTCGATCTCCTTCTCTAGCAGCTGGCCCTTCTTATATGGTGAAGGCAAGGTTGATGGGGTTAGGATCCCATGCGACACGATATTTTTATACTCATCCCGCATCGATCTGGACCATCTATTCGCTTGACGTGGAGTAAGGAAAGTCGTCCGATAGTTGCCTATTTAGGCCGATTGCGCTGGTAAATCTGGACCATACATCGCAGTTGATCTCGTCCATCCAATCGCACCTAAGGAGGGAACGAATCTAAGTGTTCACGCGCACGAGATCGAACTTGAGATATGGCACCAATGTCAGCGTGTTTTGTCATATGGCATGTTCTGCTTCGTCGAAATTGTTGACTGGATCGTCCCACATAGCTGAATTTTTTTTTTGTGTATTTTGACCCCGTATTTTTAATTTTTCTTTCAAAAATACCATACAAACTCAAATTTTTACCACTTTTTCCAAAATTACTTTCAATTACCTCCTCAACATAATTTTTCTCAAATAATTTAATAAAATTAAATTAAAATAATATTATTAATTATTTTGATCATACAAAAATTGATCCCAAGTTAAATTTCAGGTCCAGGTATTACAACTCTTCTCCCTTAAGAAAACATTTCATACTTACCATTACGAATTTTTCAAAAATCAACTTATGAAAACCAATATCCATACAACTTTTCAATCTCACGCACAAGTGACAAAGAAACGACAATTTTCCTTTTTTTCCTGCTTACTGGTGCCCTTGGGGGTCTATAGAGATATCCCTCTACGCGTGAACCAAATATTCGAATTTATCAACTAAATAATATAACTTCATACCTTAATGACCAAGAAACATACTTAGGGTCTGTATTTTTAACTCAATCAATTAGATAAAATTAGAATCAGCAATCAATAACAAAAAAGTAATTAAATGTAATAATTTAAATCATATAGTAAAACAATAAACAATTTTAGGCAGTACAGAAAAATAAATAGCTACATAGCCGAGCTTAAGACAATTATACACCAGTTTTTCGGCTCCACTAGTGACCTATAATTATTATTAGAATTTTTTTA